ACATCATCCTCGGCGACTTCGATGGGGATGGCCATGCCTCGGACATTGCCCTCGTCTCGGACCACGGGTCCACCACCAGCCCGATGGCCGTCTTCCTGCTGTCCAGCGACGCCTTCGCCCGGCCCATCTACATCGACCTGGCCTCCATGTACACCCTGCCGCCGCCGGCGTCCTGGACCGGCGCCGTGTTCAAGGGGGCCGCCGCGCGGCTGACCGCCGCCGGGCACCACGACCTGGTGGTGGCCGGCGGCCAGCAGGTCCTGGCCCTGGTCGGGCCCCGCGACCCGGCCACCGAGGCCAACATCCCGGCCGACCCGCTGGCCATCGCGGCCATCGACCACATGCGCCTGGTGCCGGACCGCCCGGCCGGCGCCTGGGTGGCCCTGGCCATCGGGGACTTCGACGGCGACGCCCGGCCGGACCTGGCCCTGGCCGCCGACGACCGGCCCACCGTCATTGCCCTGTACTCGCAGAAGGAGGCCTCGCCAAACTGCCTGTGTGGCCCGGATGCCCAGTGCGCCCACCCGGACGGACCTCACATCCTCGCGCGGTGCTTCTGCACCGGGGCGAATCGTCTCCTCGAGAGCGGCTACGCCCGGTGCGAGGCGTGCGCCTCGGGCTTCTTCCCGGTTGCTGGTGCGTCCTGGTGCCCGGTGCCCCGGCGCGCCGCTCCGGGTCTTTCCCTCGCCATGTAGCTTATGGCACCCACCCACCCTCCGCGCGCGCCGCCAACTGACCACCGCCACGCACGACATCGGCCCCCCGGCTGCCGCTCGCCCTGCCCCCCCCCCCCAAGACGGCGCCTGCGCCGCCTGCCATGGCAACTGCCGGGAGTGCACCGGCCCGGAGGTCGGCCAGTGCACCGCCTGCTCGACCGGCTGGCACCTGCTCAATGGCGTCTGCGGCCTGGCCCCGGCGGCCACGGTGACCGTCCGGCCGGAGCCCGGCCCCGGCACGCCGGCCGTCTACTTCCAGGCCTCCGAAATGCTGATGCTGGACACGGTCCAGATGTTGGCCGTGACCAGCCTCTCCTCGGCCACCGACCAGCCCCTCCTCTTCAATGACCTGCGAGCCTTTGAGCACTACCGCCAGGCGGACTTCTCCCCGGCCGGTGCCGAGCCCCGCCGCGCCGAGGCCCTGCTCATCCGTGGCGCGCAGAAGCGCGTCGTGCAGGCCACGCCGGTCCCCGGGTCCGGGCACTTCACCCTGCAGACGCCCCCGGCCCTGGGCCGGCTGGACCTGGTGCTCCGCCGGATGGCCGAGTCGCTGCACATGCCCATGGTCGGCACCGATCTGGTGGAGTGCCTCGACGACCGGGACAATCCCCTCGCCTCCGGCACCGGGCGCCTGTGCGACCTGGCCCTACGCACCCTGGCGTTCACCGATCCATTGGAATTCGCTCGTCCGACCCCGGCACGGGTCCGACTCCGGCGCACGTACCACTCCACCGATCCCGGGCTCGCTCCGGTCGGCATGCTTGTGGCCTTCGTGACCTGGCACCCGGTGGACAATCGCCGGGGCCAGGACCGCTGGCTGGTGGCCGCCAAGAGCACCCCCAGCAGCCACTCCTGCTCGTACTACTGGACCGGGGTCGTGCCCGGCAGCCTCGACATCATGCGGCCGCACTTCTGGCCGGTGGACCTGCCGCTCGGGCTGAGCATGCCCTGCGCCCAGCCGCACTCCCTGCCGCAGGACCCGGCCGGCGTGCACCCGCCGCCGATGCTCCTCTCGGTCGCCGCCGCCAAGGTGCCCGGCAATCCGGTCCTGCTCTACCTGTGGCGGTCCATCTCCACGGTCGATGGCCATGCCCGGATGGATGCCCCGGTGCCGCTGCTCCGGTCCGCGGATCTCGGCTACCCGCAGGGCACCAGCCCGACCACCTTCCAGCTGGCCATCATGCCGCACACCCTGCGCCACGACCGGGCCGAGCTCTTCTTCTGGGACGGCCAGTGGTTCTACTCGGCCGTGCTGACCCTGGCCCC